TCTCTCTCTCTCTCTCTCTCTCTCTCTCTCTCTCTCTCTCTCTCTCTTCATCCCATGACAATAGTCTCTTTATCATTATTTGTCCCACCTACTCTCCCCTCCTGTTTGATGACATCACAGTGTGATTAACCAATCACCAGCAGCCCATCTGTCACTGTCACCACACCAGCCAATCAGCTGCTACATGTAAATCCAGCTCGTGTCCAATGGGAGCCAGGCCTGCGTCTGTCCTGTGGGTGGGCTGGTGACCTGATGAGAAGGACTCATATTAATCTGATAAATAAAGGAAAAGGACCACGGTCCAACAAAAGGTTGTGAACATTAATGATGGTGTCAACCCACAGTCCATGTGAAAGATATGCACACTGACTGAAACACACTCAGCATCAGCTGCCTGCATCAACAGGGCGAGCAATTTCCTCATGATGTCACAGCTGCCTTATAAAACGCAGAGTTCTTGTAATAAAAGATGGTAAATGGACTGTACTTATATAGTGCTTTTCTATCTTATCAAGATACTCAAAGCGCTTTACATTACAATCTGTTCCCTCATTTACCCATTCATACAGCACTCTACTAGATCTCTACAAAGCTAATTGAACAAATCATTCTAATGCGACTAATCAGAGCTTTAGATCACATTCATACACTGATGGGACACACATCAGAGGCAACGAAGGGTTCAGTGTCTTGCCCAGGGACACTTTGGCATGTGACTGCTGGTGGATTCAAACCCCCAACTCTCGCATTGGAGGACGACTGCTCCAACCACTCGGCCACAGACGCGCAAAAGACCATGTGAAGGCTTTTCTATTTGTCGAGAGGCATCCACTGCACTGCAGCATCACACACTTCCTCAGGTTTCATCTAAAACTTTCTATCTCCATCAGTCTTTTTTTTTGTTGTATGAACTTTGACCTCATGTTCTCTGGAACAAAATGTGGTTCTATACACTTAAAGTGACATTTAGCTGCATCGTTTTACTTTTTTTTTTAAGCTGTGGAAATAATGTTTTCTTGTTTTGTGACGTTCACTCCATAGTAAATGTATATGCACTAGCCAGTTTATCACCTCTTCAGTTGTTTAACACAAATAGCCAATCAGCCAATCACATGGCCGAAACTCAGTGCCTTTAAGATGACTAGCTGAAGTTCAAGCCGAGCATCCGAATGGGAAAGAAAAGTGACTGACTGCAGCGTAGTTAATGTGGAATAAAAAAAAATGCTGAAATAAAACATAAAGGTGGTTAAAGACAACTAAAAAAATAATGAAGATTTAAAGTTTAAAATGAGGAAGGAAGTTTTCTTCTCAAATACAACCAGAGGCACCAATTAATGTAATTTGATTCAACACATGGTTTTTGTCCCCCATTGTGAAGCAAAGAGGTGTAATTGGAAATATCCTCTGTCCATCCATGCACATTGTGAGCACAACTTAAAAAAATAAGTGGGGTATAGACTTCCATCTTAATGTGTGGCTGCAGGCTTAAAAGGACATTATCAAAAATTGGGTTGCCACTTCAAAATCCATACACACTATATATATATATATATATATATATATATATATATATATATATATAT